CCACGATGACTCCCTATGAAGCCACGGAATTCAAATGAAATAAAGTGCGGAAGCAAGACAAAGGCAAGTCCTTAGAGATGTATGTCATCGCTAGGGCACAAGAATGAACTCTCAAGGAGTTTCAAGACTCAACAGAAACAAAACGATGAGAAGGGCATCAAAACCCTACAAGAGAAGAGCAAGGGGTAAAATGGTCATTTTACCCTAAAAGGAAGGAATTTAACTTTCAACAAGTCAAATTAGATCTAAAACATCCTAAAACACCCTTTGGTAACTTCACATGAAGTCCCAAGGCCAAAGGAAGAGAAATCCCAGATGAACCCTATCCTGGTTCAAACCAAATCCGACACCCTCTCACTAAAACATGGATATCTTGAGCTATGAGAAAATTCTGAAACTGAAATTGGTACCATTCGAAAGACAACAAAAAATTAATGAAGTTAGACTCAATAATCACCTGATTCAGAGTCTGGGCGGAAAAGATATCAAGTCCTGAAGTCGAAGGAAGGGAAACCCTATCCCGGTTCGAACAAAATTCTAACACTACCTTAATAAAACTTGAATATCTTGAGCTACAAGAGGAATCTGAAGCTTTAATTGGTACCATTAGAAAGATCATTTCGACGTGGTCAATTTAGACTCAAGAACGGACCAATTTGTAGTTAAAACGAGTGATATATGGCCCGTTGAAAAAAAGTGTCTGGAGTAGGAACAATGTTCGCGGGCGCCCGCTAAAGACCCGCGGGGGCCCGCCAAACATGGCAGATTCTCGCGGGCGCCGGCCAGAACACTGCGGGGGCCCGCCAAGTGAGGCAGAGGGGTGGTTTGGAACCTTAAAAATTGCAGGAATAGTGTTTTTAGCAGAAAATTGAGGTTGTGCAATGAAAAATGATAAACGAGAAAAAGACAAAAGTGAATAGTGTTCGAAAAAAAATAAAAAGTGGAAATGACATAATCCCTAAAGGAAGTTGTCAATCCAAGGAAAAGATTCTCGAAAATCATTCCAGAGCACTCAAGATGACATCAAGTGACGAAAAACCGAACTCAGAAAGGAAAAGATCAACAGAAAAAAAAGTACATAAAAATCTGAAAAAAAAAGGAAGAAAAATGATCAGGTCATTACACTTGAGGGACCAACCCTTGAGCACTCCAAGCCCTAGTATCACGCCAGGCCTGCCGAGCTTGGAGGGATTAACCCTCGAGCACCCCAAGCCCTGACATTACGTTAGGCCCGCCAAGCCTCGAGGGACCAACCCTTGAGCACCTAGTATCACGCTAGGCCTACCGAGCCTCGAGGGACCAACCCTCGAGTATCCTAAGCTCTGGTATCACACCTGGCCCACCAAGCCTTGAGGGACTAACCCTCGAGCGCCCTAAGCCTTGAGGGACCAACCTCGAGCGCCCCAAGCCTTGTTATCATACCAAGCCTCGAGGGACCAACCCTCAAGTGCCCCAAGCCCATCACACCAGGTCCACTAAGCCTCGAGGAACCAATCCTCGAGTGCCCCAAGCCCCAATATCACACTAGGCCCATAACACATCGAAAGAGTGGAGCCCTAGAGAGCTCACCATCAGAATGCCACAAGTTCATGCATAGTATGAAACGAAGGTAGGGCCTTCGTAGCTTTAAGGGATCTAAATTTGGGAAACTTAGGATGATCTTGGATTGGTGGATAAGAAGTCAAGAAGTGCCTTCGCTCTTAACATGGCCCAATTATCAAGATGATAGGATTATACACATTATGACAGCAAACCTTAAAATCACACACTACAATAAATTTGGGTTCTTGCCACAAAATTTTTTGCCGTACGTAAAATTTTGTGGCAAAATTAAATTCTTGTGGCTAAATGTTGGTATTTGCCACGAAGTAAACTTTTCGTGGCAAATATTAGGCTTTTACGACGAATTTTATGGACGACCTCAAAATTTGTGGCAAAATATTAATTTTGCCACGACAAATTAGGGACAACATACAAAGTCGTGGCTATTGTATGCTCTTTTGCCACGTAACTATTTTCGTGGCAAATCTGTTAGTAATTCGCTTTTATTCTGCCACAAATTTTTAGTCATGGTTATTGTATGCTATTTTGCCACATCATTATTTTCGTGGCAAATCTATTAGTAATTCGCAACGATTTTATTTTTGTGGCGAAAAATGTTAATTTACAACGAATATTTTGTCTCGTGGCTAAAAGACGTATTTTGCCACGAATTTTTAGTTATGGCTATTGTGTGATCTTTTGCCACGTAACTATTTTCGTGGCAAATCTATTAGTGAAATAATTATGTTTATTTTACATGTTATATGAGAAAAGTTTAAAGAAATTTATTTCGTTACAAATATTTTGATATATAAAAAATATTGTAGCTTATACTAAACGATAAACTTATTTATATTCCATTGCTTTAATATATTTTTTTTCTTATATAAAAAAATCTAATTAGAGATGAGAATTGATAGAAGTTTACATATGTTTTCAATGGCCAATCTTAGATAATTTTTCCCACATTTCTTTATTAAATTTCCCAGTAATTGTTTTGATATAATATAAAAAATATTATATTTTATAGTGAAAGATAAACTTATTTAGAGGTAATTAATTAAATATATATTTTTCTTTATTAGAGAAATTCATATTGTCCAGTTTACTCAATCATTCTAATTAAATGATCTGCCAATATATCTCTAGGTAACAAATAATTATTGTTCTAAGATATACCTAGGGGTTTTCAAATAATCCATTAATCTGATCCGTGTAGTTCAGTTCGATTTTCATGTCTCATGGTTCGGTGATGTTTTAAAAAAATAACAATCGCTATTCACGGTTCGGTTAATGGATTGGGCCCTGAAAAAACCGATTCGATCTGTTAATCGTACTGAACCGATCCGTTACCTTAATTATATATTAATATATTATATATATACTTACTGTCATTTATTACTGTATTTGTAGTTTTTACTTTTATTCATTATTTAAGTTAACCCTAGGTCGATCACTAGTTGTCTCGTTAGTCATTAGAATTTGTAGTCATTGAAGGCGCCGTGCACCTCACTCCTCAGCCTCGCAGTCTTCACTCTTCCCCTCTCTCTTCCTCCTCTTGCCTCCCAATCTCTCGCCTCTTAATCCAGCACCTCTCAATCTATCATTCACCCTACAATACATCAAAATAATGGCGACCTTTACGTATTGAAGCTATTGGGATTTGTATGCCTTGGCATAGCGAATTCCTATTTGGATTAAAGTAACATATGTTCCGAATATATCTTAAATATTTATGCTTTATACAATTGGTGAATTCAATGGTATTATATTTCGATTCATTATCGAATTGATAGTGTCCACTTGATTACAAAAGATATTTATATGTATGTGATGCCGATCAATACATGAACATAAATAGTAATCATAAATAGTTCATAGTCGGTAATTATCGATGGACTCATTATTAACTAAGACTTGAACCGGATCCGCGTTAGGTTGAGATATATTATGAGAGCTGCCATATGTAATTGCTCTCTATCACTATTATGGCATTTGACTCTTAAGCATAAGAGATGTATAGAATTTTTTTATTAATTAGTAATTACTTTAATTTGTTCGGCGAATTCTTCGGAATCCCTAGACCGGCACTTTGGGTAATAATGTAATTAATAATTAGAGGGTTATATTTTCAATATTTGCATCATTGCTACATATATTTATTTTGTATTGATTATGGTTGATCACAAAGTAAATTCGAAGGCCTTCATGTGGTTTAAACAAAATGATTTTCTATATATTTATTTATTTAAATTATTATTTTTGGAAAACAAATGTTTTATTGTGATCAAGCCGGAAATAATCAATGGTACTAAAATAAATATATTAATTTAGTAGTCGTATTGATGGCTTTAAGGTTAGTATTCTTATCTCATGGAGGCTTCCACAAGCTAAACTTTCCAAAGTCATTTATGGAGGTATATGTGTGATTTCTGAAGGTAAGATCATAACCAATAAGATAGAGATCCAAGAAAGAGGCATCTAGCAAAGTGATCTACAATAAGTAAGAACATTCACTTTAGATGAAAGATTTAAGGTTTACTCAAAACTTGATGTAAGTTTCTATCTCTAATTGAATGGATCATCATATTCTTCATGCATAAAACTTGTCTTTACATATAAATGAAGATCTTTATTTGAAAATCCCTCTAAAAGTTTTAAAAAATTCCGTTTCCCCAACAGAAGTGACCTCTTCAACTGGATTGACCTCTTTTCTAGTGAGTTCACAAGATTTTTTCATGCATTTTCTTATTCTTCTCTTCTTTGAACAAATCATATTTTTTCATAAGACGCCAAAGTGACTTCCTGAGAAGTCACGAGACTCAAAAGAAGCAAATACGGAAGCTAGGGTTTTAAAACGGACAAGGTAGTGAACTAGGGGTAAAATGGTTATTTAGAATAGAAATGGGTGCTACCGTGCATACCGTTGGATAGACAATGAAAAATTAATAAATTTTGACTCAAAAATCACTTGATTTGGATTTAGAACGAAGAAGATATGAATTTTTAAAATTTTACAAAAACGTTGCCAAAATGTTCCCGGTACGATCAATTTGGCTGCGAGCAGTCATTTTTTCGAAAACACGTGAATTTCAGGGCTAAAACGGGACTTTTTAAAAAACGTTTGTGAATAAACCCCCCTTAACAATGAGTCCTCTGATCGACCTTGGTCCAAACCAAGAATAAATTATAAAGTAAAATGACCAAAATGCCCCGGAGTGAAAGGTATGTTAAGAAGAAAAAGCCTTTGGTTGCGAGCAGTCATTTTTTTAAAACACTTTATTTTCAGGGCTAAAACAGGACTTTTTGGAAATACTTTGTGAAGTAACCCCCCCTAAAAATAAGTCCTCTGATCAACTATGGTCCAAACCAAAAATGAAGAGTAATGTAAAATAACTTAAATGCCCCCAAGATTAAACTACGTGAAGAGATAAAAACATGCTGAAAAATGACATACGTTTCAAACATTAAAAGTTCTTGGCCCTTGGCCTCATTACATTCAAGTTAAAGTACTTAAGTTCGTATTACACATCCAAAAGGAAGCAAGACATCCTTCTAAATAAGTTATACATTAACAACTTCAAAAGAGCTATATCATGCCAACACTTGCATGTCAAAAGTATACAAAAGGTATCGAAATGAAACTCTAGCCAAGGTAGGGATGTTATGCATCCAAAAAGAGAGTCTCTTTGCCTGAAAAACAAATATCAACTAGGGTGAGTAAATGACTTGCTCAGTAGGATGAAGCGTATGCATATACCTTAAAGTTTCAATGGTTTTTGCAAGTGTAATATAAACCAAACACATATAGATCATTCCTCCTAACGTCTAGTTTCATGGGGGAAACTAAGGGATCATCCTAAGCTATATTTGAAACATTTTGAAAGCAATCCACAATAGGTAATGTACTTAACAATATTGGAATCTCCAATGAAATACAACAAGTTACAAATCCAAAGTAATGTCAACTTGTAAATTGAAATGCGAAATCAACAATAGTGAAAACTTGGAAGCGGCGTCCGGTTATGAACTTCATAATGTAAGACAACTAATTGTTTCAGGCTTCTAACCCACAAGGAACTACCTAAGTACGCACTCTATTGGGGAGAATTCATACCTCTCGCACTAAGGTCTTACCCTAGCCATGTCAAAGTTTCATTGCCCCAAGTGTTTCCAAAATCAACAAGAGTACCAGAGCTATTACATAGTTATACAATGCATTTAACCACCTTCCATGCACATCCAAATTTGAAATCCACACAAGGCATGCCCTAAGTCCTCAAGCTACAACGATATTTGCACTATCAAGTTTATAATGTGGATATAACTACACTACTACAAGGTTGTCAACATAGGCAATTTATACATGCTATCAAAGTAAGCTTAAATCCCTAATTTTAGACAACTACATAGTTTAATTTCACACATAATCAATGAAAAGAATAATTCTAGAATATTATAGTTAAAACAACAAAATAATACTAGAATTTAATTCTCTCGTAAACAACAACTACAAAAGAGATAAATCATAAATAAGTCTTGCACAAAATGAAACCCTAAGTTAGATATATTCAAGATTCATCTATATACAACCCTAGAACTTTATATACATGCATACAATGTATATCAACTACAAATAACACAAGATACACAATGAATATAAACATAAGGTAACTCCTACCTCATTAGAGAATTGTATCTCTATAAATATCAAGGAAATGGATGCAAAATGGGAAACCAAACAAATGTGTGGTAGAGATGGATGTAAGAAAGCTTTTGTCTTCAAGGTGGAAGACCAAAAGCCAAAGGGAAGAGGCTTGAAAATGAGCAATGGAGGCTAGGGTTCCATGTCAACAATGGTGGCTTAGGTGTGAAAAATGAAGAAGACAACACTTTATTAGATTTTCCACTAACCTAAAATGCATTTGTTAGTCACATAGACTATACTAACACTACCTCTCTCTCTCACACACACATCCACCCTCCACTTGTCACCATCCTAGGCCTCCTCATAAGGCTTTAATCACAACCTTACACTTATCAAAATCCTAGGATAACAAGTGTTCTAATCTAAAGTCAACAAATGAACCAATGAAAGTTGTCACACTTTACCAAAATTGCAATTTAGTCCCTCTTCTAAATATCTCACAATTGCAAAAGGTCCCTAAGACAAAATATCTCAAAAATTTAATTACACAAAGCACCCCAAAAAATGAAAATGTTTCCGAAGAAACTATGCTTTCATACTCCCAGAATTTAAAATTAAATGAGCATGCTAATCTATGAAATTAAATCATGCATTGACAGTAAACGATAAATGGTAAGAGCTCAAATGTTGCACATTAAGTTAGGGTATTTTAGTCAATTTATCTATTTTACTTTCTCGTTTTAGTTCTAATTCTTGTTTTTGTCTATTTCAGGTCAATAAGGTTAAAATGAGCTAACAATAGCTAATTAAGCCCTCTTTAGAGTTATGAAGAAAATTCAAAAAATTCTAAAAATTTGTCTTGGAGAAATCTCGATCGATCGAAGATTCATCCACGATCATTCGAAGATTTATGATCCATCGAAGCCACATTCGCAAAGGAATAGAACTACCACCTCATCGTTTAACTAAGTTCCCAATCGATTGAAGCCCTTTTCGATCAATCGCAATGCCACGTCAGCGCCATCTAAGTAGATAAGGTTGCCAGTTGTCATGATAAGCATGCTACATAATTCATGATCAATCGAAGATAATCTCGATCCTTCGAAGTCTCTTTCGATCAATCGAAATCCTACTGGCAGTGAGCTGTTTAATTCCTGAGCGCGCCTGAATTCCACCTAACTTTTGGCTGCGGGATTAGACCAATGAAATGGCTATTTTATGACTTGTTGCCTACACAAAGAGGCTTGTATTTAAATCAAATTGGACCATTTTGTTAGGGTTCTCAAGTTTTAGATAAAGTTGTTCATAGTTTAAACACAATATTCTCTCTCTAGATTAGGGTTTTTGGAGCAAGAGAAAAGGCAAAAAAGGAGTAGAAGATGAACTCAACCATAAAGATAGCCCTTAAAGGTTGTAAGACAACATCCACAAGTGGCTAGATCCTATGATGGCCCTAGATTTTCAAACACAGTGCGTCCTATACTAACCCATTAATGGATCCAAAATACGGAAGCAAATAATAAGACAATGGTCTCGCAAGGCACAACATACCTCTAAGACACTTTGAAGACCTTCCATGAGGTCGTGGAACTCAATGAGAACTGACGCGAAAGCAAAAGATCAAAAAAAAACAATTAAGCCCTAGGGCCAAAGCATTCATTTCTGAAAGTATGGATTTCGATGCCACCAAGCACACTGCTGGGAAGACAACGAAAAATTCATCAAAATGGACTTAAGAATCGCATGATTCGGAGTCCGGACAAAAGAGAAACGGCAAGAAAAAAAAATGAGCACTTAATACTAAAAGAGTAATTGGTAATCATCCAGGAAGACCTACATGCAAATGAGTACACCATTGGAAAGATAGCGAAAAATTAGTCAAGTTCAAAAAAAAGTTCACTCGATTAGGAGTCCGGTGGAGGGAGAAACGAGGGTTTGAAGTTGAGATGTTGCGGTGGCCCGACGAAAGCCATGGCAGCCCCATGCACGTGCGGCGCCCATGCGCGCTCCCACCGGCGCCCCATGCGGCGCCCAATTGCATGCACATGCTTATAGCAAGGGTCTAAAGCATATTTTCCAGAATTGAGGCTTGAAATGAAGGCCAAAATGAATTTTTCTGGAAAAATACGAAGAAAAAACCCCCCCTAAAATCGAGTTTTCTACTTATCTATATGGAAAGAAATGAACAAAACACACTAAGAAATCCCCAAAATACCCCTAGATCAGAAGAGGTCAAGAGGGAAAAAAAGCTGCTACAGTAACTGTCCTGATCTAAGAGCAGAAACGGGCTATCAAATGAATTTTTCTGGAAAAACACGAAAAAGAAACCCCTACCGAAATCAAATATTCTACCCAACAACATGGGAGAAAATGAAAAAAAGACATTGTGAAATGGCCAAAATGCCCCTAGATCAGTAGAGGCTTAAAAACTCAAAAGAAAATCTATAGAGTACTCATTTTGTGAAATATGACTCTAAACTTGAAAACGATCATGCACACAAATGTAACTTACCTAATAGGACGTGCTACAATAGTCCACAGCTTAAAAATACCGCCGATGCAAAATTCGACCCCCCGACGGCCAAAAAGACAAAAATGAACGAGAAATGGGAAATTTGAAAACCAAAATTAACAAATGATTTCAAATTACCATTTGGCCCTTGGCCACACTTCATATATGATTATTGAGACCCTATGAACGAATAAAAATGGAATTCCCACACCCGATGCAAACATAGTGAAGCAAAAACTTGTCATTTTTCAATATTTTCATAATATTTCATGAAGTTGAAAGTTAAATAGGATACAAACTAGATACCATTGGCCTATGACCTCATCTTATACATGTCAAATACATTTTAAAGAGGGTACTCATATACACATTACATGTATGGAATCAAAAAAATACAAGTTTTGACATATAAGGCAACAAAATGATATTTCATGCTAACATTTGCATGAAATGAAAACTTGAAAGCTAGAAGTCATCCAAGGAATGATGAGCATCATGAACAAAGTCTTCATACCTGAAACAAATCCCTAACAACTTCGGGGTGAGTAACATAAAGCTACTCGTAGGAAATGAGCATGCATCGACCTAGTACTTTACAAGGTTATTACATTTACATGAAGCAATTCAAGGATCATGCTACCTAATGTCTATGTCATAAATAAGACTCAGGGATCATCCTAAGCTACTCATGCAATTGAAACGAACAATGGCATACAAGTACACATACTCAGGTATGCAAAACGATGCTAAAACATGATATACAACATATAAGCTTATATTTCCAAGTATACTAAACCATATTAAGACAAGTCATACAATGTCTAAGTATATTCACACAAGTGTACATTTAATGTGTAATCTCGTATATCAAGTACACAACACAAGTATACTAAATGCAATTTAAACTCATTGAATAAGTATACAAGTTCAAGTATACTAAACAAGATTCAAATACCCAAAGCAAGTATCAATTCTCAAGCTACAAGTAATATATGATTAACAACTTGAAATTAAACGCAAAATCAAATAGTGGAAAGACTAGGACATGCGGTCGTTAGACCAAGCAAGTATTTTCAGGTAATTACGACCCACAAGGTACCACCTAGTGCGCACTTATGACTTAGAGGACCCTTGTCCACGTACTAGAGCCAAACCATAGCCATCACATAAATTATGTCCTCACAAGCTTTTCAAAATCAATAAGTTCAAAACTTATACAAAATCAAATGCAAGTTACCACATTCCATGCACAAGTAAGGTTGAATCCAAACAAACCATGTCCTAGAATTCAAGCCTATATAGCATATGACATGTCATGTCCTTAATATGCAATTTATACCCAAAGCAAGAATATTTTACAACAATTGAACTAAATTACCATCCTAAGCCACAAGTACTAAACAAGCTACAATTTATTAACTAGCTTTCAAGGTAAACAATTGTAATATTCTAACAAGCTATATACCTACACAAGATATATTTAAACAAGTCATGCAAGAAAATGATATCATATATCATGGTAAGTCCAATTCC